AGGTCAAGTACAGGGCCCCAGCTCTGCCCGAGTCAGCAGCGGGGCTTCTAAAGCAGTGCCTGGCTCGCAGCCTCTGTTCGTGGAGCTTTGGTTCCATGTTTCTTCACACCACCTGCCCTGCAGTGAAGTACTTAATTGGGCCTTCCAGCCCAATTAATCTTTGTGACTCCCTCACAATGATTGGGTGGGACTATGCAAATAAGGAGCTCTGGTGGCGTAGTGCCTAAGGCACTTGACTGCTAACCAGAAGGCTTGCGGTTCAAACCCACCAGCCACTCCTTGGAAGGAAGGTTGGGCAATATACTTCTATAGTGATACTGCCTTCAAAACCCAAGGAGGGGTCGCTATGAGTAGGGTCTGACTCAGCGGCAAACAACATGCAAATAAGGTGTTTATGGCCCACCAAGGAGACTGGACAGCCTGCTGGTAATGCAGGTAAGGTGTGTGGACCGTGTGACGATTCTGGTAGGTCAGCTGGGCTGGGCCGTGGTTTGGCAGTTGTGTGTTGTCACCCTCCATTCTACGCTCTGATGTTAACTGTCCTCCCACCTGTGATGTGTGGTAAATCCTAGCCTGTATGCCTGTGATTACGGTCCCGTGGGAGAGAGTTGTCCGTTATGTAAATTAGGCAGGCTGCATCCTGAGTCACCTTTACCTCAGTCACTGCCCTTCACAGCCTCCCTCAAGGAAGGGCAGTTTCTTTGAGGGTATGGCCTGCATCCAACCTATATGAACACTGTGGCCATGGTCTCTCTTGGCTTGTCTTCATCCGACTCGCCTTGTCTTGCATCTGGCTGATTTTCTGTGACCTCTTGGGACTTGAGCCAGCAGTCTGTCATCTGACCTGCCGACTTGGGGTCATCAGGCCCTGCAGCCACGTGAGGAGAGGCCTCCAGACCCACGGATGTGAGACTTGGCAGCCTCCACACCGTGTAAGCCACTGCGTTGGCGGTTCATGATTTCTGTGAGCTGTTACAGAGAATTACAGAACCCAGAGCGGGGGAGGACCGAGGGGAGGAGGGGCTGACCTTAGAGGGCGGAGGGGTACAGCAGTTTGGAAAAGCTGAACTCCTGGGACATTTCTAACCTACACCTCAGAGACCAGCACCATGCTGATCCTTACACACTGCTGACCCCCACAGCCCCAGCACCCTGCCGCCTCTCCCCCGTCCACCGTGGGGGCTAGGTGAGCTGGGATTGCCAGCTAGGTGCCCCTTCCTCCAGGTGATGAAACAGGCAAGCCAGCCCTGGCTCCCTCCCAGAGCAAAGCTGAGTGAAGCCCAACTGCTCGTCCAGCGACCCAGCCGCGGCCATCGCAGAGGGTGGCTGGGCGGGCCGATACCGCCACCTGCCGGCCACGGGGCCAGCCGCAGCCCCAACTCCACAGCGTCTGGGCGAAGCCCCAGGCACCGAGGACCTTAAAGTGGCTGAGGTCCCCTGGGATCCACCTAAGTTTCTCAGTAGTCCCCTCCTGTGGGCACAGCCCACCCCCCACATTCCTCTTCCAGTTGATTTTCCATCACAGCAAGGGCCACAGCAAGGACTTTTCTCAAAGTGACCTGCCAGCTCAGGACGGGGGCACTGGGGCGTAGACCCCAATGGGGCCAGGACGCAGCCCCACACTACAGGGGGCAGGTGGGCCCTGTGGGCAGTGGGTGACAGACACGAGACTGGGCCGATTCGAGCCCACAGCCAATAGGGTAGTCAGGCCCCACCCAAGTGACAGGCTAAACATGGCCCGATGACCTCTCGTTTCTGCCCAAGCCTGGTGCTGGGAATGAAGAACCGCTTGCAGGGGCAGGTTGCCCTCAGAAGCAGGGCCACAGCTCTCCAATCATGGCAACACAAGTACCCCAGGGGCCCTGAACCATGCACGGCTGTGGAGGGGACCCGTGTCCCACCTGACGACAGCTCGAGAAGGAACAGGAGAGCTCTTGTTGGTCCCTGTGACTCGACTAGGGGCTCCGGAGGGTTCCAAGGCTGTGAGCTCTCGGGACACTGCCAGGCCTGTCTGCAAGGCGCCTGGGTGGATATGAACCGCTGCCTCGGTAAGTGGTGGAGGACTTAAGTGTATGTGCCACCTGGGGCCACCTAAGAGGACAGCATGGAAGAAGCGGCAGATGGTCAGAGGCTGTCGGGACACCCCACGAGCTGGGGCAGCTCAGCGGACAACGGCTCCACAGGGACTGGGAAGGGCCCGACGGAGGCCCAAGGGGAGAGCGGACGCTGTGTGCAGCCAGCACCGAGACCCCCCCCGTGAAGTCCCGGTGGGGCAGGGGACTGGCGAGGGAGGGTGCTGAGGAGCAAGGTGCTAACCCAGTGCTTGGGACCCCCGGCAGCGCCCTGCAGGCCGAGGCTGGGGCACTCAGTGTCCTTGACCCACTGGCTCACCCAGGCCTGGAGTGGGGCAGGGGGACACTGGGCCCACCACTGAGGCTGCAAGGAGGGGGCTGCTCACAGCTCGATTTATAACTTACAATACTGAACGTAAGGCCAGGCGAGCAAGAGTCCCAGACAAAAATGACCTGGTTTGTGAAACACAAAAACACGTGAGGACAGGCTGGTGTATGGGACAGAGGTACAGACCTTGGCGCACCCCCACACTGAGCAACATGTGGGTTGTGGAGGGAACATTGAAACATGGCTTCCAGGCCTAAGTTTCTGTTTGAAATGTGGTAAAACAGACAGTGGTTTCCAAGGCTGACCACCAACACAGTCTACACCACAGGCTGCTATGCGGAAAGCAAGGGCACTCTGGGTTATATGGCCTAGTTGACTCGCTCAACACCAAGAAAACTCCTCCCTCAGAACGGAGGCGAATGGTGCAGCTCTCAAGGCCAGCCGCTACAGCACAACACCCAGGCCCTGAGCGTCTGGGGGTTTACTCCAGGTGTCCAGCTAAAGCCTGCAGACGGGGCGGGCCCTTCTACCAGCCTTCCACCACACGCCAGCTGTCAGAAGGGACCAGTCCCTGGAAAAGAGGATCACGTTGCGTGGCGGGTCCACGAAAAAGGGGCAGACCCTCAACGAGATGGACCGCCAGTGGCTGCGATGGCAGTGGCTGCGATGGCAGTGACCCGGAGGCTAGCACAGGACCGGGAAGCATTTGTTCTGTTGTACATGGGGTCGTCAGGAGTTGGAACTGACTTGGTGGCACAAGTCTTTTTCTAACTTCCACCAAATGGCTGGATGGGACTATGCAAATAAGGTGCCTGTGGTCCACCAAGCAGACTGGCCGGCCTGCTCCTAATGCAAATAAGGTGCGAGGAATCCTGACGCGGGAACAGGGCAGTTTTGCCACCGCACTAGACTTTAAACGAAACGTCCTAGGGGCAGAAAAAGCGAACCTCACAGCCACCGAGGAGACAGAGAGCAGAATGTGCTTTTCTGGCCCCGGGCCCCGGGCCCTGTGTGTCGAGAACCCCAATCCAAGAGACAGAAAACAAGCACCTGAGAAATGACAGCAGGAGAACGAGGCGATGGGCAGTGGGCTCTCTGGCCCATGGATCAAGAGCTGAGCACATGAGCACCGGCAGGCTGGCCTGGCCCACGGGGCCCCCTGGGGGGCTGAGAGCCAGAGAAAGGCCGACCTGAAGGCACGACTGAGAGGAGACCATCCCAGATGAAGAACTGCACCCGGAGCGCTCCTGACGCTCATCCCTCTCCTGCCATTTTCCTGATAAACCCCTAACTAACTGTGAGAATGCTCTGAGTTCTGTGGCCACTCAATGAGCTACTGAGCCCAGCACAGGAGCAGAGCAGTGCCGTGGCAGGGACGGGTGGTGCCAGAAGTGGTGGAGGTTGTAGGGTGGTGGCGCGTCTGACCGCCGCCTCCTAGAATCGGCCTCGACCTTGACGGTGGCTCTCTGTCCCTATCATGGAGGCAGAGGGCAGACATCACCCGTCACTTTACAGAGTGCTGTTTCTCTTTACAGTTTTGCTTCTACCCTGGTTGATTTTTTGAAGACTTTTCTTCAAAACAGCCATCCATTCCAGAGTGCTTTAACAGTTGCAGGAATGAAAAGCCTGATAGCTCCAACACCGAAGAAATCTGTAATAAAACTGCAAGTGCTGAGACATACCCCTTCTCCACGATAAAATTAGGACAGGCTGCCCCGTGCGTGGTTTCAGGAATCCCACACCAAGGGCGTTGGGGCAGGCCGCCCACCTCACAGCAAGCTGACCACCGAGACACTGAGTTGACCAAGATGCTGACTTCTCTGAACACCATTCTCACTCACTGATGTTAGGAAAAACAGGCATGACCCCTCATTATGGAAGTTCTCACCCCAAAACACAAAACACAAGCAGTGCATGGAGAGAGGAGGGGAGGGCTGGTGAGTGAGCACGCACGGCCCAGAGCGCGACATGGTCACTGGCCCTTTAATGAAACAAGCTGGCCACAGGCCCTTCAATGAAGCAGGTCGCCAGCAGCTGCAGACCACGGCCAGCCCGGCCTAGCAGGCGGCCTGGCTCAGCAGGGACAAGTGGCTCAGTCCCTCCGCAGGGGCATGGTCTCCTCGCGGATGCCCTCCTGGGTGACAATGCAGATGTGCAGTGCGTCCCCCGTGTACACATCCCGCTCAGCAGCAGAGATGAAGACGTCCCTCACCAGGCGCAGGGCCCTGTCCAGGGTCAGCGGGACCTGCTCCACGTTCTGCATGTTCTTGAATCCGACCTGCAGGCAGAGGAGGGGCCGGGGCTGGCGGAGGAGGGCAGCCCCACACAGGGACCCGCCAGCCCGGCAGCTGGAGTGCACTCCGGCCCGACTCCAGGTGCAGCACGGGGACTGAGGGCTGCGGGCAGCCGCACCACTGCAGGGCCGGGCACCCGGAGGGCAGCAAGGGCGCAGCGTACCTGGTTGTCGAGCAGCGGCTGCAGCATCGCACTGGCCGAGCCTCCAGCCTTGAAGGAGTCTCTCTGGTAGGATCCGACTGGGTCAAAGCTGTACACGGCCCCCTTCCCTGGGGAAAGAAGAGGCCCCGTGAGGACGACGCACTGACATCAACCCATCACAGCCACATGGCTCCAGTCACAGGACAGAAGAGGATGCTGGCTGTAGAATTCCAGCCAACACGCAGAAGACACGCTACCTGCCCCGCGTCCAGAGCTGGGCTCCTGGGGCAGCTGCCCTCCACACAGACCTCGGGGGGCCAGGGTCCACCCTTCTCATTGGCACTCTGCCATCAGGGTGCTCTGCAAATCAACCGACTGCCACGCTGGGGTCCCGGGCCCAGAGAGCTTCACCCACGCTCGGGTAACTGCCCAGGGCCTTGTGGGTGCACGCCTTGGCCCCAGGACACATGGCTAGTGCTCAGTAAAGGACAAGGCCAGGGGAGCACAGGCCAAGCACCAAGCACCAGTTCTGCTTTGCAAGCCCAGACCGATGCAGAACCCCTGCCTCGTTCCAGAAACGGGCCCGGACTCGGCTCGCTCCTCAGCAGCTGGAGCACACCTGGCGGGAGGCACCGTCAGCACGGAAAAGCGTCATCCCCCAGCCCCATCGTCGCCTCACTCACAGGGAAGCCAGCCTACAAGAAGACGTAAGAGACAAGCACGTGCCGGTCATGTCTGCGTCCCCAAGAGCCAATGTTACCAGCAGCCCGAGCCCACTGGCAGGACCGGCGGGTCCGTGCTGGCTGACAGCAGAGGGTATGCCATCGCTCCCGTGCACCGCCTGTGCAGGTGGGTGAGCGGCCGGCAGTGAGACAGTGTCCCCGTGAGAGCGCCTCAGGGGCTGTGAGGGGTTCAAGCGGCAGGGGCGCAGACCAGCTCCCGGGACTCGAGTCTCTCGAGGGCTCGCCACACCATCACCTCACACCCGTGGCCCAGGCAGCAGGTGTGCATACACGGGATGGTGCAAAGTGGGACAGCCCCCAGCACGCACCACCACCCCACGCCAGCGTCCAAGTGCTGCCCTCGGGCATTGGGGCACACTCACAAATAGGGGTGAGTCAGCCCGGAGGTGAGAGATGCAGGGGAGGCGGCTGCGGCACTCGAGCGGCGCCCCGGACGCAGCCCGAGCCCCGAAGTAAAGGGGTCCTCACAGCACAGGGAAGACTGCCCTGTGAATTCTTGATGCGGAAATCTACCGGGAGGAGTCCACCACCAAAACGGGAAAAGCAACCAAGCAAGGAAGCCCACGCCGGGAGCAGAGCCAGGACCCCCTCACTGCGGCAGCCGCGGGCAGAGGCCCAGAGCAGGGCTAGGGGCACGGGAGACTGTGAAGAACTATGTGATGGAATGTAACTCCAGAAGAAAACAGGTGCTTGAGAAAGGAGACCACCCGTGTGATCCAGGACGCAGGCGCCCACTGTCCCGCGTGACCCAGCACGCCGGTCCTCAAAGAAACCCTGTGCGACCTGGGACACGTGCGCCCAGAGCTCCTGGGATTGAACTTGTTAACGTCTAAAGTCGAGTCTGTCCACCCTCATTACTCAGGTCAGGCGGGATCGCACTTCCCCAGGCAGCTCTCCCTGTGAGAACACGCAACGACCTCTCCTGAGCTCATGCTCAGCCCGACGGTCTCCCGCTGCCCCCGGACCATCGCTCACATCCTACTCAGCTTGCTGCATGTTTTATGGTCACACGCACATCTCAGGCAGGTGGTGGTCACGCCCCTGCACCGATGGACACGCATGTCCCAGAAAGAACACCCACCTTCCTCGTCGAGCCCGCCGATGATGTTGTAGACGTAGTAGGGGAAGAAGCGCCGGGAGTACAGGATGGTGGACAGCATGGCGGCTATGGCCCCAGTCGTCATGGCCTTGTTGTTGGAGTGCTTGTACATCTGTGGGGCATGGGAGCACACTCAGAGTAGCCACCAGGGCCCCCGGCCTAGAGGAAATGCCCACCAACTCCTCCTAGCAGACTGGGACCAATCCTGCCCTCAGCTCTGTGGCTGTGAGCCAACCACATCCCCTGTCCTTCCTCATCCTGACTATGGCCTGGGGCTGGCCGGCCAGCCTGCCCACGGTTCTTGAAAAGGTTTCAGGGGAACACAGCCACGCTCGTGGATCACATTCTGCCTACGGTTCGCGCAGCGTCACGATGGGAGAGCTGAGCAGTCTGCGGAGGCCACACAGGCCCAGACCTGAGCCCCTTGCAGGTGGCAAGCAGCATCCGCATGGCTCTCACCCAGGGCACCCCTCCACCTACCTTTAGCCTTGCTTCAATGATCTTAGTGAGCGTGAGACAGTCGCCATGGAAACCGCTGCAGCCGATGACGGTCCTGTCCGTCCTGCAAAAGCACACCACAGGACGCTGAGCCGACAGCAGAATGTGTCACAGACGGTTCAAAGAAGACACTGCTGTTCCTGTTCTTGATCAACGGTGACAGGACCACGAGCTCTTCCCCCATCCCATATGGCATCAGACCCCTCACTCCTTACACCAAACAAACTGTGGACCAACGAACAAATGGAAGAACCGTACGAGAGGAAACCTGAGTGCGTGTCTGAGCTTCTGGGCTGGGAAGGCCTGTTTTACCCCGACCCAGCCCCTAAGCACCCCAGACAGTTCAGTGCTAAGACTTCTAGGGAAAAACAGGAACCAAAGTCCAAAGACAAACATAAAAAACTAAGAAAACACTTGAGGAAAACTTATGACCAAGGTGTATTTTAATTTTTACCTTCCTCTACAAAGGGCTCCTACAAATAAGAAAAACAGTAATGTGACAAGTTACACACAGCTCACAGAAATAGAACCACAAATCACTGTAAATATCTGAAAAGACCCTCCACTGCACGCCAACAGTGCAAATCTAAACAAGAAACGATTTGCATTTATTAGAGTAACTGGAATTTCAAAAAACCAGTAACCCCTAGAACTGGTGAGGCTGTAAAAACGGGTATTCTCAGACACTTGGAAGACATGTGTTGAACTTTTTAGAAGGACAATTGGGCAGCACAGCTGATTCAGTCACTCCCTTGCTCCAAGTTCACCCCATCAAGATTTGTGGAAGCATGCACAGACACATGAATGTGGGTCAATGTGTCATGTTAAGAGCTCCCCAACCAACCAACCACACCCACTGCCATGGAGTCTATTCTGACCCACAGTGCCCCTAGAGGACAGAGTGGGAACTGCCCACAGGGTCTCCAAGGCTGTCAGTCTCTATGGAAGCAAAGCCCAAACTGTGGAGTTGATTCTGACTCACAGCGCCCCTAGAGGACAGAGCGGGAACTGCCCACAGGGTCTCCAAGGCTGTCAGTCTCTATGGAAGCAAAGCCCAAACTGTTAACTACAAGGTTGGCAGTTCAAACTCACCAGCCACTCCGCAGAAGGAAGACTGGGCAATCTACTTCTGTAAAGATTTATCACCTTGGAAACCCAAAGGGGGTCACTCTGAGTTGGAATCAACTCGATGGCAGTAAGTTTGATTTTGTTTTTTGGAATCTACACTGAAGGCTGTAGTCTCTGATCTTCACCTGTAAGGGCTTGAGTCTCCTACACTTACGGCAAGCAAGGTTGTGTCATCTGCATATCTCAGGTTGTTAATGAGTCTTCCTTTAATCCTGATGCCACATTCTTCTTTGTACAGCCCAGCTTCTTGGCTTATTTGCTCACCATACAGACTGAATAAATATGATGAAAGGACACAGCCCCGACACACACTTTCCCTGATTTTAAACCACACAGTATCCCCTTGTTCTGCTGGAAAGACTGACTCTTTGTCTATGTACAGGTTTCTCATGAGTACAATTAAGTGTTCTGGAATTCCCATTCTTCTCAATGTTATCCACAATTTGTTATGATCCACACAGTCGAATGCCTTTGCATAGTCAACAAAACTAAAGTCAACATCTTTCTGGTATTCTATGCTTTCAGCCACAATCCATCTAACTTTAGCAGGATCTCTCTCACTGCATGTCTTCCTCTGAATCTAGCTTGAATTTCTGGAAGTTCCCTGTTAATGTAATGCTACAACCGTTTTTGAATTATCTTTAGCATAGTTTCATTTGCATGTGATATTAATGACATTATTTGATAATCATTCTATAATGCAACTCAAGGCTTGAATTTTTTATTTCTTTCACCTTGAAAAATGATGTACGTAGTCTTTCCAAGCCATGGTATTTTCAATCGCCTCAAGTGCATGTCCAAGATGGACAATGAAAAAGGAAGACCGAAAACTTCAAGCCTTTGAATTATGGTGTTGGTGAAGAGTATTTAATACACCATGGGCTGCCAGAAGAATGAACCAATCTATATTGGAAGAAGTAAGCCAGGAAGATGGAAGAAAAGGCAGACGAGCGACACAGACCCTCTTCAACAAAGAAAACAAAAACCAATTATACAGAAGATAAACCTTGGAACCCTGAGCTTTGAAAGGAATTATACAGAAATGGATTAGGCACCAACTAGTGGAAAAACCTGAACGAAAAGTGAGTACAGACGGACGGAGCTGCAGACTGTCAGATACTCTGATGAGACCAACAGCCTGAATATTTCCAAGTGGCGCTGGCACCTGAGAATTGACCTAAAGCTCAGTCCCAGTCACCAAGGGCTGCAGGGACAACTGCTCTGGTGGCCTATGACTAGGAAGGGAAACAACAAGGAGGGAAACAACCTGAGCTGTGGACTTTCTGCTGTCCTGAGGGTGCAGCCATTTTGATTGTTTACACGTGGCAACCATTTTGGATTTTAAAGTGAAAGCATTCTCACTCAGATGCCAAGGACCTAAGAACAGGCTATGTTTGCCAGGGTCGGCAAGGACATATGAGAGGCTGACAAAGGAAAGGAGACAGGTGGTGAGTGTATAAGTGCTGTCAACTAGTGAATAGAGGAGCACAACACAGTACCCTGCCTGCATAGATAACATACAAACAAAACAAAGAAAACGAAAATTATGGGCAAGTCACTACGGCATATAATCACCAATTAAATATAAACACAAAAACGTCACAATGCCTCGGAGACAACAGAACATCACAGTCCACACAAAGAAGCAAGATAATGCAGGAGAAACAAGGGACCAGGATATAGACCCAAAACACATCCCTGAGGAAGATGCAGCACTGGAACTCCCTGATAAGGAATTCAAAAGAATTATATTTCGGTATCTTCAAGGGACTGAGAGACAGACCAAGGAAAACACCCCCCCCAAAAAAAAAAAACCCTAAAAAAATTCTGGAAGAAAATACAAGAACAAAATGACAAAATAAATGAAAAACTAGAAAAATTCTAAATCTACAGAGAGAAATCCAGAAGATTAATACTAAATTGTCACAAACAGATAACAAATTAAAAGGGCAAAGGAGTAGAACTGATTCAATGGAAGACAGAGTTAATGACATTGAAGAAAAATGCCTGAATACTTCTTTGGAAAGGGATCAATCAGAAAAAAGATCAAAACAAAATGAAGAAAGCCTAAGGTTCATGTTGTTGTTGTTATGTGCCATCGAGTCGGACCTGACTCATAGAGACCCCTCCTTGGGTTTCCGAGTCAGTATCACTACGGAAGTAGATTGCCCCATCTTCCTTCTGAGGAGTGGCTGGTGGGTTTGAACCGCCAGCCTTCT